GATCGTGTCGTCTTCTAGTTTTTTCGTTTGGCGGTAACCCTCCCGCTTCCTCTATCCAAATGAGGTAACTGGGTAGTACTCAGTTGTATACTTGATAACTCCTAAGTAATGTTTTTAGCATGCGTTAGTAGATTTTTAAGTTTAGCTCTGCAACCCGGCGAAATCAACCTACTAGAGGCGACTGATGCCTAAACCCCATTTACTTGTAGCTTATATTGGCCACTTGTGTCTCTTCGTTTTTAAAGAATACAGTTAAGTTTTCACGTGCCATCTTTTTGGACAATTAAGCATTATTGTGCCATGTTAGGTTTGCGAATTCTTCATCCCTTTTTATTGATTATTGGTTGCATTGGAAGTGGTTCTGGGATGCAAGTGGGTGAAATCTATTGAATATGATGTGACCCGTCTCAGGTACTGTTGTCGTTTTTTTAATTAAACCTGAATTAGCGCGGTCCAATGTTATCGAGCTCGCCGAATCCACAATCTATTTATTCTGGCGTGCATCGCGCTCGTGCGTGTCTGGCTGTGCCAGAGGGTCCGATCACGTAGCGTGGGGTTCGCACACTGCGGCAAGGCCGGTCCACGCACTTGGAACGCCCTCCTTTTCGTTGATAATTTGTTCTTTGAACAAAGTTTCTGTTCAAGTCAATGACAATTTCTAATTTCCCAAATTAAATTGATTTTTTTTCAGTAAAGGTCGTCCTAAAACATCTTATTTGTATGTTCCCTACCTATCTTCCAGGATATGATTAGTTGACCTTCGCTAGCCATGTGTATAGGGGTAATTTGATGTAAATCATATCGTTAGCATCATTTGCCGCAATTAATGAATGAATATTTCACAGTTTTTTAAGCCGTCTTAACGTCGATTTGTACGAGACATTTAATCAAGTCGGATGGTATTTCCAAAACTTGCGCTAGTCAATTTTTAACAAACTGAAAATTAATCCAAATGACGTCGCTGTGTAGTGGTGCTGCCGCGTGGTTTTCATCGTCCTTGATGGAACTGTCACTGGTTCGATGGAAAGCACAACTTATATCTAATACTCTATGGCTCTTAACATCCACTCATTGTGAAAATATTTTTTTTTCTTGTAATTGGCTGAATAGGACGAAATACTCACGGTTCTAGTCCGATAGTGTATTAACATCGGACACGTTTTTGCAAACAATTCTACAAATTTGGAACTGTTTTCAAAAAAATAAATACGTAGTTAAAGTTAACTCGAAGTAACACCAAAGCGACTCACGACATTAAACCCGACTTCATGATTCCTTTGTAATTTAGGGCTCCGGCCTTCAGTTACGGTCGCATCTTTGTCAACGTGTACGACTTTATACATAGAGATTGCGTGCGAACAATGTGCATACTCGTGACTGGTGCCACATATACCTCGCTTTCTGCAGCCTAATGT